GAAAGAACACTGCTAAGCAATGAGTAGGAGGTTTATTCTTCAATTGTAGGTAGCAGAGTTGTTTGAGATGAGAAGCCACATTTGATCCTCTTTTCAACATAAAATTTCAGCAAAGAAATTTTATTTTGGAGAGCACAGCATTATTTCGATAACATAACACCAGCAAATAACTAGGTCTTTGTTCCTCAATATTTTTCTCTTCATTTGCTAATATAAACTTCCTTTTATTACTCTAGCTGCTACCTGGGAGGGGTCAAGAAAAGTTTAAGAGCATAACAACACAAAAAAGTTTTGCTAGATATACCATAGGGGAAGATTTTGTGTCACATAATGGCCATCTTCCATCTGGATTGGAAGATGACAAATCCCTTCCATTGTTAGTTCTCAGAAATCAGAATAGAATGCATATGGCTTGTGATTCAAGAGATGGAAAACAGCCAATAATATAAATAGCCACTGATAACCTCATTCTCAATGACCCTCTACAATCTCTTTTTAAAAACAATCCAAGTTTGTGGCCATTACCACCATTCTACTGTTATGCACCATGGGGGGGAGGGACGGATTTCCTTATCCTGGTCCTGAATCCCCCCACATTTAGTTCCAAAAAATGACTTAATTGTACAAGTGTGAGTTGAGAAGAAAAACTATCTCCTGGTATCTATGATGTGCATAGTTTTATATACCTTTTTATGCCTCCTCCTTTGTTTTAAGCTAAAAAAATCATTCATATGCTGTAAACTCACTGTCTCCTAATTTTGGTTTCTCGTATTTTGATATCTTTCCCATCAGAACATTACACAACACTCCAAATGTAATCTTAACCATAGATTAACATAAGTATGTTGTTATATCAACAATTTAGTTCTGAATTGCTTTCCTAATGATTAGCAAATTTGTTTCTTCGACAGTTAGATTGCTTTTACTAGAATTTATTTGCAACTCAATAAACTGCTGATACATCTAATCTGTATTTGCACTAACACAGAATTGCTGTCCTCTTTATACCATATAACAATTTAAATGAAATGTATCTATTTATACTTATTATATCCTGTTTTTTTGGCACACTCTAGAGTAATGGATTGGTAACTTTAGTAGGCATCAGATAAACTAATATTTTTAACCTTTCATAGATAATATACCAAGCAAACTGAAATAAATAAAAATAGAAATAAGGGGATAGTGAAGCATTGTATTGTGCCTACCTTCTTGTACCAAGGGGGAAAATATCTATAATCTTTGTTTGCATGTTTTTATTTTATTTCTTTATTTTTTGTATTTTTTAACCAGCCATCTCCCTTGGGGAGGGGGTCTGAGCCATGTACAAAACTATATGTATTATCCATCCTCAAAAAGTGGACAGGATCCTGGGGCTTGCTAACACAGTCAGCTGTTTATTAGATCCTACCGGTATTACCACTTTATAATACCACATTTGGAATACTGCATCCAGTTTTGTTCACACAACTCAAAAAAAATGTGTTGAATTTAAGAGTGCAGAGAAGAGTAATGAAGATGATTAGGGTTCTGGAGGCTATGTCATATGATGAATGACTGCAGGAACTAGGTATGACTAGTCTAAGAGAAAAACTAGTAATGACATTATAGCACTCTTCCAATATTTGAGAGGCTGTCATAGAGAAGAGGGGGTCAACCTATTCTCCAAAGTACTTGAGGGCAGGATAAAAAGTAATGGAGAGAAATTTATCAAGGAGAGATCCAACTTAGAACAAAGGAGGCTTGCTTCCAGAAGTTGTGAGTGCTCCATCACTGGACATTTTTATGAAGAGATTGGATAGCCATTTATCCAGAATGTTATAAGGTGTCCTGCTTGAGCAGGGGGTTGGACTAGAAGATCTCTAAGGTCTCTTCCAATTCTGTTATTCTGTATTCTGTAAAGGAGTTAACACTAAAGAAATCGGGGGGGGGGAATTCAAATTTTCTCTATGAGATCTTGATAGAGAACTGCAACTCTCAAAATTCCCTAGAGAAAATGAATTCACATTTTCACAATGATATTGCAAGAAGCAGATAGATATTTGGCACCCTATGTTAACTTCACTATACCTTTAAGAATCTACATATAGTCTTAGGAATCATCTACTCATTCTGTGACTTTATTACAAGACACAAAATATTCATGCAAATCAGATGGTGTGTTTTTCATCTGTGCAAGTGTAAAATATGTTGAAAATGTTTTAAATATACTCACTCTCATTATATTTAACCCATTTCTTGGGATGAGTAGATGTTGTGATTTGAATCAGTTTCCATAGCCTTTAATACTTTTGATTCTTTTTAAAACTATTTAAACCATTTTTTTAAAAAATCAGATTTTAATATGAAATACTTACCGTATTTTTCGGAGTATAAAACACACTTTTTTCCCACCTAAAAGAGGATGAAAATTTGGGTACGTCTTATACACCAAATGTAGCCCCGCCCACCCACCTCTCAAGCAGATTTTTTTTTTCTTATTTTCTTCCCCCCAAAATAAAGTGCGTCTTATACTCCGGAGCATTTTATACTCCAAAAAATATGTTAGATACTTTATAACACTATACTTAGTGAAATAACAGTTAAATATATGTCAGTTAATCCCACTAAATCATTAATGTTTATGTATAGCCGATTCTATTTATTTGATTGAAGCTGTACCAAATTAATAATATTTTGTTCTCAAATGGGTCGGCTACCAATTTCAGTAAACGATAATATATCTCTGACTTTTTAATGATCTTGGATATAAATTGCTAACTAGTCATATACTTCCTTTATAAACACTCATCTCAATATATTCTCCCAAAATACTCCATCAAACCACTAACTTCAACAGATCTGAGCTTAAAAAGTAAAATTATAAACAATTTTGCAATGTAAGATTGACAGACTATGGATGCAAAAGTGCCATTTTAGGAGCCCTTATGCATGAAAATTTACACTTCTCTTTCTCTGAGGAAAAGGGGGAAAAGTTGTCCTCAGCCTTTCCCTTGAGAGGACCTAATGCACAGGATCCATGAATTTTTCTGAGTTTATACAAAAGAACATCCACTTAACAGCAAGTCTGTTTACATGCATTCATTATTATAGTAAAGACTTATTGGTGAAATACTAAGACTATGTTTTCAGTGGATGGTGAACCTGTGGCAATTAATCCCAGCACTACTATAATCTTTATGAGAAGAATGCCCTTCATTCACATAAGTCATGGATCCTTCTAGGGACAGCAGACAGAAACCCAACATTTCATCTGTCCCAAATCTGTACAGGTAGCCCTTGACTGACAGCCACAGTTGGGACCACAATTGTTATTACTACGCGAGATGGCTGTTCAATTATTTTTAACCCTTTTTGCTACAATTCTTAAGTGAATCACTGCAGTTAAGTGAATCACTAAGTGGTTAAGCAATCACAAGGGTTAAGGTTAAGGTTAAACTTCCTCATTAATTTTGCTTGTCAAAAACCAGCATTTTATCAGCTTTAAGTATATGCAATTAATGTATGAAGGCTATTGCTTAACGCATTGTAAGTCGCCCTGAGTCTCCGGAGAAGGGCTGCATATAAATCAAACCAAAAAAAAAAACGTTGCAAATGGAAATCACAAGGTCCCTGGGACATTGCAACCATTGTAAATACATGCCGGTTGTCAAGCACCCAAATTTTGATCATGTGGAAATACTACTATGGTCATACATATGAGGACTTGTCATAAATCACTTTTTTCAGTGCCACTGCAACTTTAAACAGTCTCTAAACAAATGGTTGTAAATCAAGGATTACCTGTAAATCCTTGAGATTCTAGAGTTCTCAACTTTATAATCTATATAAAAGAGCTTAACCTGTTAAATTCAGGATTTAAATTAAGAGCTTTCATATGAAGATTTTTTTAAAACTACATTTTTTTCAATGTTATGCATCATGTTTTCATGTATGTACTTTTCTGGTTCATATAATTGGATAAGGGTTCTTGGGCAACTGAACTATAGGAAAGGCCAGTGGGTGTAATCTTGCTCATCCTTCTGCATGATAAATTTCTCCTTTAGAAGTAAATATACCTAAATGTTTATTGTTGATGAGGAGGTGCCTAAGAACATAACTGCCTTTTCTCAACATGGTACTAATCTTAGGCACAGTCAATCAGCAGAATAGTACAACTGTGGTAATCAGGATCTTCTTACTCCTAGATATATGTCTTGGACATTTATAAAAAAATGAAACTTAATGTCATTACTGAAGGCATTTCAATTATAACTGCAAAGAATCCAGAGGCTGTACTGCAATAAAGGCTGAAATAAAGGCAGAAATATGATGAGACAAAATTTGACTTCAAAAATCCATAATGGCTAGTGGTAGCAAAAACTAAGTAAAAAACTGTGTAATTGTTAATGCCCCTTAGTGGTCAGTCACTATACAACACTGAATATTTTATTCACACGTTGCAATATATTTTTATTGTATATTAATGTGAAATATAACAAAGCTAAAAATGTAAGTGGTTTAAATTAATAAATATAATAAAAAATATGAAATACTTTGAATCACTTTTTAAATTCAATAATTGTCAAAATTTGATTATTTAATATCTCATTCCTGGCAAATTTATAAACATTACAGAATGAAAATCAAGGCCAAGTGATAACTGTGTATGAAGCCAACTTCCTCTTGTGATCAAAAGCTTTAAATTCAATTGTTAAAACATTTGAATCAACGAATTTGAAGCAGTGTTGTGGATCATTTAAATTAGTTAGGAGCGTATGTAAAGCTGAGAAGGAGAGAGAAAAGGAATACCAGGAGGATTTGCAAAAGTACAATAAATAAGAGGAAAAATGGCAGGGTACTAAACCAAGGATTACCAGCTTTGGGAAAGAAAGAGCAGAAACCAACTGCCGTACCGCAAAGGGGACGCATAGAATGGCAGTTGGAGCAAGTCACGTGGTCGCAGAGTTAGAACGCTAGCAAGCACCTGCAGCATCGCCCTCTTTCCGCCGCGCCCCTTGATGGGCGTGGCTTCTCTTCAAGGATAAAAGGGCGAGGACGGCGGTTGGTGCGTTCTTTTCGATCGTAGGAAGAGCTTGGCGTGTGGTTGCTGTTGGGGGGATAAAGGCCCAGGAAGAGTAAGTTTTACACTGGTAAGGTTGTTAGTTTCAGCATTTAAATAAGTGGCGCGCGCCGTAGTAACATACCAGCCATTTGCTGGAACTTTTTAGAGTTGTTACTAAGGCGGGGAAAGCTGAACTGTTGCGGCGCATGCGCCCTGCCGGTTCTTGAATTTCTGAGGTTGAGCTTCAGCGAGGAAAGCGGGTTGGAGTGGGAGAAGGCGGCGAAATCCTTGGTAAAATGGCGGACGATTATGAAGAACCCCTTGCCAACGGACGGATGAGGAAGGGTAAAGTGAAGAATGGAGAGGCCCCCGAGGACGGTCACGAGAGAGCGGAGACGGGGGGCTGGAGGACGGTGAAGGAATTGGGAGGAGCCGCTTGATTTTGTACTGGCAAAGCAGATTAACGGTCCGGTTCCTCAGGAAGCAGCGAAGGCCGCACGTGTCCCCGTACGTTGTGAAGAGCGGGAGTCTCCGCTTCCTTCCTCCCCCCCCCCGCTTTTGCGGGCGCGTGTCTCGGGACGCCATGCTTCCATGGGACCTGCCAGAGTGGCAGCCTCCCTTCCTAGTCATGGCAGAGCAACCGGCGCCTTGCTTTTTGGCATAGCTCCCCTCATTTCATTGGCGGGAGACTCTGACTTGGGCAAGTCACATTCTTGCGTGTCATCCTGTGCAGCTTCGCTCTGTGTTCACACGCGCTTTGGAAACGACGTGGTGGCCTGCATGAGAGGTTGCCTCTGGAGAGACGGGAGATGGTCGTTGCAAATACCTTACAAAGCTGCCTTTTCTGTTCTTTTAAAGTTGAAAAGTGGTGGTGAAAATATCATTAAACCGTATGAGGTTAAACTTGGGCAAAGGGGAGTTTAATGTTTGGAGAGGCCTGCAGATCTGTAATGCGATACTGATCTTTTAAAACGAGTTTTGGGAATTTTAAATTGGCAGTTTGTCAAGAGTTTGGAATTTGAAAAGCAGTTTAACCATTGAGAAAGGTACTGGGAGAGAGTGCTACACCTTTTGCTACTTAGCATCTTGAGTTTATGAAAAATAATTTTAATCTGTAAATTAAACAGATTAAATCACTGTAAAAGTGACTTTTCCCCCCATTTTGCGGGATAGGTATACATGCTGCTCTGATTCTGAAGATACCAATTTGTATGAGGGATTCCCAGTAATGACTCCTAGAAATAAGAGTTTGCTGTATATAGTTAAAGCAATGTATCAGAGGCCAGTTAGGCATGATTAATCTTCTTATGCTTGAGTGGTTTTTTGTTTGTTTTTTGCTTTTCCCAGCATAATAGATTTATCAAGGGAGCTGACTTGATTTGTTCAGCAATCTGTTTGTTCTTTGGCCCTAGGGTACTCTCAAGAATAAGAGAGTAACCTAGAGCCATCAGAACAAGATTCTATATGATTTTGTTACAAGATGCGCTGTTATATAAATGTTACAAATAAATGGATGACAACATTGACATTTTGAGTATCAGAATTGAAATTACTGGAACTGTTTCAGCCTTGATTACACTATTAATCAGGATGTAAAAAATATAGCGGTGTTCAGTGCACCCAGTAACTAGTATCAATTAGACTTCTTGGACAACCTGTTACTACTTTACAGGTGGTACTTGACCTATGACCACAATTGAGCCCAAAATTTATATTGTTAAGCAAGACATTGTTAAGTGAGTTTTGCTCCATTTTACGACCTTTCTTGCCACAATTGTTAAGTGAATCACTGCAGTTAAGCAAGTCTGTTTATCCATTGACTCTGCTTGTCAGAAGGTTGCAAAAGATGACCACATGATCCCAGGATACTGCAACCATCTTAAATGTGAGTTGGTTGCCAAATGTCCAAATTTTGATCACGTCACCATGGGGATACTACAATAATCAGAAGTGTGAAAAATGATCATAAGTCACTTTTTTCAGTGATGGTGTAACTTTGAATGATCACTAAATGAACTGTTGTAAATTGAGGACTACCTGTTAGATCAAGTCTACCACAACCACTGATGCACATTGAGTATATCATTGGTAGACAATGAAGAAATCTATCTCAATAGCAAAGTAAAGTTGGGGGGGGGACCCCATATATATCCTTTAGGGTGGTTTCATTTCTCATCTTAATCTGAATAGGTTTGTTCGGTGTGGGCAAATAGTGGAGAATTATTCCTAAACCTTTTCTCCTAGATAGGTAGTGGGACCTCCCAGGTGAACCTGTAAAGTTGTCTTGATCTTTCTGGGAACTGTATACAGAAAATAAAATCCAGTATTCCAATAGATCATGTTATGAGGGACTTGTGAAGAGAAAGTAATAAGTTTGCTAAAGGTATGTATGGATTTGATGCCTCCCAGATTTTTTTAGGGCATATCAAAATTTTCAACTTTCAATTTGTAAAGGTATTTTTGTTACTTTAATATAATTTAGATGTTCTTGGTAAATAACTACATAAATATAATAACTTTTTAACATTTTATTTGTTTCATTTCACAGGTTCAGCTGCTTTCTCTTTTTGTTAAACGTTATTTTGTGAGTTAATACTGCTGTCCTTGTTTCCTATGAGTGTGATAACTGATCTGTAATGGCATCTAAAAAAAGAACAAAACTGGGAACATTCACTCATATGAGCAACCTAATTGGGACTGGCAGAGACTTGTTGCCATCTGAACTCCCAACACTGCGAGACATTCTCAGATATGGCCTACTGTTAAGAGAACAAAGTAGTGATGATGCTAGAAACTACCCAGCAGCCAGTCTTGCAAGAGACATATATTCAAAAGTGCTTGAAAAGTGGGAATAAGCAAACAGTTCTTTTGTGACCTCTGTTGTAAATTCACGAGTGACAATCTTGAACAAGATTCGAGAAAGCTGGGATCGAGCCAAAAATATATCTTTTGGTAGGGGAAAACTAGATGTTAAAGAGACTTTCATTGTGAAACTTGACAAAGTGTTTGACATCCTCAACTGCAAGTGTCAAATTGTTGTGTGTGCCGAATTTGGCTGCCCTGCTGACTGTAAAAAAGAAGCTCACATTAACTGTACTTGCCCTAAGGAGATGGAGATACCATTGAAGGAACTTGCTTTCATTAAAGGTCAGAGAGACAAGATTGGTTCTTTTGGATCACACAAGATTGGTTTGCCAGATGTGCCTAAGCAGAAACAACTAGTCAAGGCAAAAGCGGCAAGACAATGAGAGACAAAGGCTTGCTAAATATAAGCAGAGAAGTATTCCAGACATTTGAATTCTTGGTAGAAAACATATATTTTTAGAACTGAAAAAAAATGCAAAAATTAATTTTCACCCCAGAGTCTCCTTGTAGGGGAGATAAAAAAAAGATTTAATGTTGAGCCAAAATTTTGCAAGTCTTAATGAATTAGAAAAGTCTCAGATGTTTTCAAATAGCTGAAAACAAAGGAAAGCTACTGATGGCATAAGTAAAATGAGAAGCTGTAAATTTCTTTGCATTGTTACATTCTTTATCACAATGTATTAATATGGAAGCTCCATTTGGCAGCATCCAGCCAACACTGGCTAATTGTGAAAAATTAGAGAATGAGAAAAAGACAGGAAATCCAAAATAAATGCCAGAAGTAGATGAGGAAGCACTTGGTTTGTTGCCAAAAAAACATGGTATTTTTTCAGTGAAATTAAACAAATTGAGTTTTTCAAAGATTACACTTCATTAATGCTAGAAATATTACTGTAATTTACAAACTCATTAAGGAAAGAGATTAACATTTTAATTTTTCTAAATATTTAGAGGGTATTGAAGTTTTGTCTGCCCATATTTTTATCTGACAAGCAGAAAAGAAAACAGGTTACCCTGACACAATCTGAATTGGTCTTCACACGTCATCCTTAGTGAAGTGTGTAAACCAGCATCTGCATTTCCTGGGTCAGATGAGAACACATCTTTTTCTTTTTATCCTGCCTATTTTTTACAGAGCTATTGAGAGCATTTTGATAAACTGCATCACTGGTTTGATGGCAGCAGTGCCTCAGATTCAGAGTCCATTCAGAGAGTGGTAAGGACAGCTGAAAAGATTATAGGAAACTCGCTTCCTGTTATTCAGGATACTGCTTATAAGCACTATGTGCTTAGAGCTCAAAGCATTTGAGACCCCACAGACCCATTTTACAGTCTGTTTGGGTAGCTCCCCTTTGGGAGGAGGTTTCAAAGTATTTCTGTAGCAGTTTCTGTAACAGCATTGTTCCCTATGCCATTCATCTGGTAAACTAGCAAGATTCATATACTTTTATTTATTTATTTAATTTATTATGTCATGTTTATGTAGTGTATATTGGAGGTGGTGGCCCTTTGAGAGCTGTGTGCAATGAAATTTCATTTTATAATGTATGCCAATTAGTGTACATTCAAAGTGACAATAAAGTTATTTTATTTTATTCTATGCCTAATGTTTCTCAGTGAAAAAGATAGGAAAAGTCCCTTAAATCAAAATGCATGCTATAGTCACCCTGTTTTCTGCTTATCAATATTGATACATTTCAAGACAAAAACATTTGAATCGTCGTCTAAGACCAGATTTTGGTATAAAGTAAAACTGAAAAATTAATTATAAATTGTCTTCTACTATGAATAGATTTCTGTATATAAAAGCTGTGTGATAGAACAGTTAAACTGTTAAAAGAAATGTCCTTGGTTTTATTATGTCTTATAAATACATAAATTCTGACTTAGTCAAGTTCACAAATTGTTTCAACTATTTTCATGAACATCTGAAAAACTATCTCCCTACCATTGCACTGATTTCATTGTTGCATATAGCATTAAGATAATTCAGTAATATTGAGATACAGAAAACTCAGTTTCTACAGAAAACTGACAGACAGAACTCAAAAAATCCATAAATAGCACATTTCATTACATTGAATATTTTATATCTTAACCAAATAATATAAACAAACAATTCTGTCAGCAAATAGAAAAAAATTGAAATATGGTTTCGAAATCCCTCTGGTATATTACATTCAGTAGTAGTATAAAGGAAATATCATTTGGGGTATTTACCGTAAGTCAAAACTGTTAACAGCTTTTTCCTAACAATGCAGCATATGGATGGCAAACTTTCATAATATTATCATGTACTTATTGAAGTACTTCCTACCTTAGTAGAAATTACTTTTTGCTGTCTAGTTTTTTTTAAGGCCTTATTTAGTTTAGACAATATTTGACAAATTAATCATACTTGCACAGTCCATGAACTGCAAGGTTAAATGTACTTTCTAAAATTAATTTGTAGATATGTTAAATACCTGATACATCTAATTTGGGCATAGTTCTGGTCATTAAAAGTTGGCCAAGTAATTTATAACGATTGCAAAAAGTTGAGGTAGTGGAATGCCACTATTAATAAAACTTAACCATGTATTTGTTAGCATATTGAGAAATGACTAGAAAGAGTGGCTGAAAAGTCTAGGATTTTTATTCCAACAGCAGAGAACAAGTTATGGAAAGCTATAGGATGACAGCAAAAAATAAAGTCTGCTATATGATAATAAAATTTTAGTAGATACTTTAAAATGAATTGTCAAAAAGGATATATTTAAGACTGTTTACCCATCGCATTAAAAACCATAATTTAATACATAAAATATTACACAATCTTGACATTTTACAAGATATTTTATTCAACTGTTTCATGTACAATGAAATAAGGGCAGGATAACTTCACCATAAAGATAAAACACAGTATAAAGTCAGTTAAAAAAATCATTATTTGAAACTAGTACAGGATACAATGCATTGTAGAAAATTTGTCACAATACAAAAAGATAAAAATATTACATGAGAGGATCTTATATATAGAATGAGCTGATTTGTGCAGCTGTAATCAGTACTGTTTTGTCTTGGTAGATTACATGTTCGATCAAAATTACTTCTAGGATGAACTATTTCAATGTCCAAAAAGTTTTACATCCATGAAAAAAATGTATTTTCCTAGTGCAACAAGGGACATTCATAGTTTGGTTATGCTTTTTATCCAAGGTATAAAAAAGGAAACTTTGGTATAGACACCTGGAGAGTCTTTGACTCCACACCCATACCCCCAGGAAGTCACACCATACACAACCCAAATATTTCCTGGCCGTTCACACATTAATGGTCCACCACTGTCTCCCTGACAGCTGTCTACCTGTTTTTGTCCATGGAGGCTACCAGCACAAAGCATTCTCCCTGTGAATTTTGTGTGATACCGTTCTTCACAAATTCTTTTAGGAATAAGGGGAATAGCAGCTTGTTGTAGTGTTCTTGAATAGGCTCTACCTGATGGGAAAATATTGAAATTAAAATACCGAGTATTAAGCAAATTCTTAAAACTTTGTTTTATCAAATAACTGAAATATTAACAAAACAGATCAGATATCAGTCATTCAGTAAGGTCTTTGTTTATATCAAGAACAGTAATATACAATCCTGCAAAAAGAAATGTTTACTGAACATTTAAAAATGGCTTGAAAGATGAAGTTTTTCTGGTGTTCCTTATTTGCTACAATAACAAATAAACTTCATAGGAAGTTGTACTTCTATAGTCTTGTATTCAAACTTAGCATGCCTTTTGAGTAGGTACGGGTATCTTCACAATTTAGGAAATATTTCCATTTGCAGTTTCTTATGTAGGTTACTTCGATTCTGATTCAGTTTGAGTTGGAATTCTGCAATTGAGGGTGAGGTGATTCAAGTTTCTGATTCAGTGTTCAATGGAAATGTTCCATTTCAAGTGTTAATTTGAAGAATTCATGGATTATAAAGAAGTTTCAAAATATATGATGATGTTTAACTTTGTGGCAGAATGCAATGAAGCAGAGGTGGTAGAGAAAAATAGGTAATTTTAAGCTAGCCAGGTTTCAGTTTGACCATACAGGAAATCATTGATTAATGACAGTAATTCAGACTGGAATTTCTATCACTATGCAATGTCATAAAGTGTGGTGTTATATGAACACATTGCTTAGCAACTACAATCTTACCAGTTCTTCATTAACCAAATCCCAACTGTCATTAAGTGAGGACTTGTTCCGATCCAAACCATTCCAACTTTGTCCTTCCCAGCTCTGAGCTTGCAAGGCAAGGGACTGCCTCCTCTGCAACTCACTCCACCTGCTTATCCCCCTTCTGTCTCTGCCCTTTTGTCTGCCCTGAACTACACTGGCCCTGCTGTTCCCCCTTTCACAAGTCTTTCAAATCGGACAAGGGGCCCATGTGGCCTTGGGAAGGCGGCCTGTTAGCAGCCGCCTTGCAAAGTGCAAGATTAAATGTGTCTCATCAACTCAGGAGGAAGAAGATGATGGTCAGCTGGGGATGGCAGGGACTGCAGAAGCGGCCAAAAAAGCAGAATTGAAGCTGGCAATAGGTGGATGGAGTTGGTTCTCTTGTAGTAGTAAATGCAGGAAGGCTGCTAAGAATTGTTGACCATTGGGATGCTGCAACAGCAGTAACTTCAAGAATCTGGCAGAACTACCATTAAATCAGCACTGTCATAATTTCAAACAGTTGCTGAACAAATGATTGTTAAGCAAGGATTATCTGTAATAAATTTTTAGTTATCCTATGGATGTCAACCCTGAAGCTGACCTGGCCGAAGCCATCTTGGAGCTGCAGTGTTGCCACACTGGAGTGAGGGATAGGGAGGGGGAATTAGAGATACCTGGGGTTATGTAGTCAAAATACTTTCTTGGGAACCAAGGAACCTCACACCTGGCCAGAGGAAGGAGTGATGTCACCAGACCAGCGGACGCTGACTTGATTGGATCATGTGACTGACTGGTTAGGGTTGAGAGAAAAACTTTTTAATTAGGTGAAAACCAAGGGGCCCCTCAGAGTTGGGTTTTATCAGATATGTGCCAATTTGATATTTCCAATAAAGTTATCCTCGGAGTTTTTCCTTGCAATGGATCTATTACTTGGAACCCTGACATCAGAATTATTTGAGACAGCAACAATGAAGAAATGGCAGCAGAACAATTTCAAAGTAGTTTAGCAACTCACCCATGAAGACTTTGGATGAACCAATTTATAACTATTGTCTTCCATTTTAAGTTTTCAAAAACTATTATTTCTTATACAGCCTTGCTGCCTAGGATTGCTAGATGTTAGAGATTCCAGGAGATCCTGTACAAAGTTTGATTTCGTACAAGGAAGGATCTCATACCTGGCTTTAGTAGGGGGCTAGGCTAGGTAGATAAAAATGTGATTCAGCAGAACAACCACTCTCCTGCCCTGCCTCCTTTAAATCACTTTTTTCCAGGGTACCAGAAATCTTATATATTTATTGAGCCGAGGTGGTGCAGTGGTTAGAGTGCAGTACTGCAGCTACTTCAGCTGACTGCTAGTTCAGCAGATCAGTGGATCAAATCTCACCAGCTCAAGGCTGACTCAGCCTTCCATCCTTCCGAGGTGGGTAAAATGAGGATCCAGATTGTTGGGGGCAATATGCTATTTAGTATATTGTCTTTGGTGTAAGCCGCCCAGAGTCCTCGGAGAGTGGGAGGCATAGAAATATGAATAATAAATAAATAAATTGTACTTAGCATATCACCTAGTACAGGGGTCACCAACCTTTCGGATCTCAGGGACCACTAAATTCATAATTTTAAATCCTGTGGACCACTAATATGAATTTTTTAAAAAGATAAATAGTATTTACTGCAATATAAAAAATGCAAATAATTTTTCTGCGGACCACCAAAATATTCTCATGGATCACCGAGAGACCACTAGCTGACCACTGACCTACTGCACTAAGCAATTAAAAGTAAAAAAAACAAAAACCATGATCTTACCTGTATCACCCCAACCAGTGATGTAACAATTAGAAGCTTTCTGCGGCCTCTCCCGCCTGAATGGCAAACAGGCAGGTAAAACATGAGCACTAAAGCGAGTACACTGTTTGTGAGGCCCTTGCAATCTCACTAGTGCAATGTCATAGTCGCTGTTATCAGGCCTATATTCTGGGTGTTGCACAATTTCTTGTACTCCAATTTCTTCTTCATACTCCTCAGGTACCAATGTGTGGTAGTCTCCAACACGTACCACATAGTTTCGACTATTGTTGCCATACCTAAAAGAAAGGGGAATAATTGATGTAGGGTTCTGCTTTTATTATAACACTGGTGAAAGAACACTGGAAAATGAACAAGCGAGAAAGTTTTAGATTTCCAGTTCAGTTACAAATCAGGAACTCAGTAAAATATAATGGTGCTTAAATGTTTATAAATATTTTTGAATTTTCAATGTTTTGGCAAAAATATGGCCTAAATGCGATATGTTCTTCACACAAATTCTAAGAGTAAAGACAACTCAATTAAATGAATTAAGATATAATACTTGTCGATTTACTTATTCAGGAAAATATTGTAGTGTATCAATGATAGACTAAGACAAT